TATCGGCAGTTATGACGATTTACTACGCCATTTAAGAAAAAGGAACATTCGTCGGAAAAGCAAGTGTTGAATAGAAAATGTTAATCGTTTATAATTCGTTCACTCGTATCTTCACAAAATTGTAATCGCCGATCAAAATCATCTTCATTAAGTTCTTGTACCAGGTGTCCGTTGGACAGTACGTCGACTAACACCACACACACTCCCCAATTTGCGGGTACTTAACGTAGGATCTACATAAACTTGCCCTAAAACCCCCACTTCTATTGCTTCGTTCCTTATGGGATTTTCAATGATGCGTTTTTTATTGGCGACTGACCCAGTTTCCCGAAATTTAGCTACAAATTCTAGAACATATTTTCGATGCACGTTACTGTTCTCATGTCGCACAGTAAATATTTCTGCTGTTCTGTTAGCGCACTAATTATTTCCGAAAAATATTTCTATAATTTTAACTCTTTCTGCTGTGGAATATACCAAGGTTAATTTATGTAATAAAGCGTTACAAGTTATTTAGCAACAAAGTCAAATCAATCGCAAACTATGTACTAAATTCCTATTTAAAATAAGTACGAGATATTTCCTGGTATTTCTTCAAGAAATAACTTTTTTGCCACAAAAAAACGCTCCAATAGCTATTTTCAACAACAAAATGATAAACAAACCATGGGCGTAGTGAGGAAAAGCGTCTACTTATTAAGTAAATTCTTTTAGTCAAATTTCTCCTGAGTAGTACAAACTAATCTGTTGTACCTATTAAAATCTACTTTAAGCTTTAAATCAATAAATCTTCAAAACTACATAAGTGAAGCTCATGTATTTTACATCATTATGAAGGGAATTGAAAGACCTTTGAAATAAGGTATCACTCGACCCCCCTTTCCATTTAAGATTTTAGGGTTGGTGTTACCCCCACCCAGGGGGCTGCACGTGTTGACGTGATTTTTTTCCAAACTTGTGTCTCCCTTGAAACCAAATCGGCGGATCTGAGCGTATTTCCAAAAAAAAACTGAGCTGCCAGTAAATGCGTCTGTTTCGATTTCAATGCGCCACCCTGTATATGTACCGCCAAGTGTAAACCAGACACTGTACGTACTTCAATATCCCGTTTTGCAGAACAAACGTTGGATCAAACTCTCCGCTAATGCAATTGCAAAGAAATCTCAATACCTATGGTGCATTTTCTGATATTTTTGTTTGCCAATTCTCGAACTTTAAGTACCTGTTAAAGAACAGGATGTTGGCCACTCCCTTGTAAACGACGCTACTGTTCTTTAACATTTTTCTTTGTATCCTTATTGCTAAGTTGTTTCACATGCATTTATATCGTTTTATAACAGTACTTGTAACTTTGTATTCTTTGTAAGCTATGTTGTGGATGTCTTTTTTGGAGAATTTCTCTGTTTGACATCCCGAAATTCTTAAATAAATAAATAAATAAATTATGGTTCTTGTTTTCAATGTTCACCAAATCATCACAATCCTGAAGAAATTTATAGTAGAATCAGTTTTAGCTACGTTAGTCGGTATTAACGGACTGTTAGTTACAGGGTGCAAACACAATTCCCTGAGCAATTTGAAAAAAAAAATTGTTGCTACGAAAACCCTTTGAAAAGAAATGGTTTCTACTTCCAATCAAATAAAAACTTTAAAACAGTGTTAAAGTAGCTCACACAGTAGCCACTGGTTCGCAACTGCCCTGGTTGTGGAAAATCGATCTCTAAGTGCGAGTTGTCTCGAATAACGATCATGTCGCTCCGTACTCTGTTTTTTACGTCCAGTACCTCTAACAAGTCGATTCCAGCCTTCTTGGAACCGCGCTCGACAACATCTCATTACAGTAGCTTCGTGTGGATTCACCCGTTTAGCGAATATGAAAAACTATGCTCAGTCATGAGCTTCTTTAAAATACGTTTAGGCTAAGCTGTGTAAAGTTGAGCATACTTGTTGGTAGAAGACTATACAACCCTAAACGTGGGAAATCATGCTTTGATATCGACAGTGAAAATTTGGGTGTTCTCAACTCATCAGATGATCTGCTAACTGTGGAAGTTGGAGTTTGTGAAGTAGATATTTCTATTTTTATGCATACCTAATGAAGTGGCATATATAAATAATGATCGAACAGGCATTCTTTCGAGAAGTGAGAACACAAGAATCGTATATTGGCTGTCTTCTAAATAATGAATAATTTATTTATTTTACCCGAATCACCCCATAATATACTAAGTGACATATAAATCCGAAAGCCCAGTTTAAATGGTTTTATTTTAATAAAATTTTGTATAAGTACTTAATGAAGCATAATAAGTAAATGATAAAAATTTCAAAATGATTGCGCTGCTTTAAAGCCCTTTGACCTATAATAATGTGTGGATGCACCCTGATGTGCTACGCATTCTCCAACGCGCCTAGGCATGCTTCTGGTCAGGTGGTCAATGTCCTCCTGTGGTACCTCATTAGAGGCAACCACCAACTCCTCTCGAAGTGCTTCTAGAGTCTGAGGAGGAAGTTGCAAATTAAGCAATCTCCTACCCATCATATCCCACAGGTGCTCAATTGGGGATAAGTCGGGAGATCTTGGTGGCCATGGTAACAATGTGACATCGTTATGTTGAAAGAAGTCTATTGTGACTCTTGCAACATGTGGTCGGACATTATCTTGCTGGAAAGTTGGATCTGCCAGGGTGTCAAGATAGGGTAAAAGATGGGGTTCTAGAACTTCGTGGATATAACGCCGCGCGTTCATGCTACATCTGATGAAGATTAAAGGTGACCTGGAACCATAAGCTATAGCAGCCCAAACCATAGCCGCAACAGTGTGATGAACATGTCTTACAAACAAAAAACTGTGGATTCCTCCTTTCACCACGTCGCCTTCTAACCCTGGCACGACCATCGTGCATGCCTAAACAAAATCGAGACTCGTCACTAAAGACAATACTGTTCCATTCCTGATCCCAGAGTGACCGTTGTCTGCACCACTCAAGGCGATTACGTCGGTGTTCTCGAGTTAAAGGGAGGACCCAGTGTGGCCGGTATGAAAACAAGCCAAAACTTCTCATTCGTCGGTAAACACTTCGCATGCCAATAGGTCTTCCGTGTTCTGCAAACCATTCATTTGCAATGGACCTGGTAGTGGAGAAACGATCCCTCACGGCCAATAATCTTAGGCGGCGATCTTCACGGTCTGTTGTTCTACGGCGGCGTCCAGTGCCCCTTGCTCTTTGCGTACGGCCTTCTCGAAGCCATGCCTGACAACACCTAACCACAGTGTCTATACTTCTTTGCACTCTAACTGCAGTTGCCCGAAAAGAAAGTCCAGCTTCCCGAAGTCCCACTATACGGCCCCTATCAAACTCACTAAGTTGACAAAATCGTACAGGTCTCCGTACTCTAGGTATCGTAACCGATCGTAAAGGATGTCAAGAACCAAAATCCGCCAACGATGATTCTTTACTGCGGCTGAAATATTCATTTTTAGAGGGTTAGTGAATTAAAAAAAAGCAGTATAAAAACCGGAATGCCCAACTGATAAGGCAGAAAATTTTTTCACTTGTTATTTACAGTAAGATAAATACATTCACCAACTTTTATTAAAATAAAACCATTTAAACTGGGTGTTCGGATTTATGTGTCACTTAGTATGTTATAGCATTGCTAAGGTGTGACTGAAATAGCCCAAGGTCTCAAATTTTAATTAGTTGAGGATGAAAATATAGCTAATTCATACTCGAGACCCAGAAAGTGATGATAAGAATCCTGAAGATGACACGTTACGTGATTTTTTCTTTGTCCGAAGAGCATATAACATATACCCATCAATTTAAACGTCTTAATGGCATGCTTATAACCTGTCTGTCAGTTGTGAGACACCTTTCTCACTTTTCCATGAAAAGAGAAAAATCCACCGCTAACGACTGCTACGAAATCATGTCGATTTAATAAGAGAGTCATAGCATTCCTGTCATATATTTAGCGAAGTAATCACGCCCGTTTACAAGAATGTTCGTAATACCCGTTTCGATGAGAAGACAGAATAGTCGTACACTAACTGAATTGATTAGTATAGTTCAGGAATCGACATACGATACTTCAAATGTTTGTTACAGATCGGTTATTCATGTGACTTATCGCTCCATCCGATTCTTTAAATAAATGACACTCTCGAAAATCAATGAAGATATTTTTGCAATTTACTACACTATCAGAACCACCAACACTGTCACACATCGCTCTTAACGCTTCATCGAATGACTATTTGGCTAGATTCTCCCATCCCACTTCGTTTGTTACTTACACAAAACAACTTGGTGGTATCGCGAAGATGCTTGAAATAAGTCCAGTTTTAACCTTCCAAATTCAGTTTATATTCTTTTTATTTTATTATATATATTAAAATGAGCATGCGAAGAAAGGTATATAAAAAAAAGTACGAAAATAATGAGCAAAATCCGCCAAAAGGAGGAAAGTGGATTCGAGCAGAAAATAGGATTGGTAACCCGAGCGATACGTATTTCTGCTGGTTGGCTTCATCAGGCCCGAAATGAATGCACATATGAAACTACAAAAGTAGATACACATGCCCACACATCCGGATACGGGTGTAACCTGAGGAAACGAAGATGGAGAGGGAAAAAACGACACACTGAAACCACCACAAGAGCCAACCTACACATTGTAGTATAAAATGGCTAGAAGACCTCGAATTTTCAAAGAGACATCTAACCACAACTACGCGGCCGGTTATAGCCGCATGCTGTGGTACTTCAAGCCCAAAGGATCTTGATTAATGTAGAAACAACACCTAAGAAGATACAGATCATTAGTAGAAACGTTGTCACTCTGATGCAGTCACCACAACCTTCCACTTCAAGACAACACAGGTTTCCTATATATATCGTCGTCATGAGATTTATAGTTCAGAATCCGAGACAGATACTGAAACGACTATTGTACAGCAGAGAACAAAACTGGCATCAAACAAATCATCATTGCCTATGGATAATATATATTGTTCTAAAGGAAAAATCGAAGACAGCGATAGTTTCAGTTCTGATGACAATATACCTTTAGCTAACTTCAAAGCTAAGAAATTTAGGTCTCCTTTTCAAGAGCTATTGTCAACTCCGAACTATGCTGTAACAAAAAATAAGCCTAGGAGAAAAGCTGTTGATTATAAAGGCCAACGAATTACCAAAGACCTATTCAAAGAACGAGAAGCATTGAATGAAAACGAGAAGACAAAGAAAACAACACTGAAAAATTACAAAAGAAAAGCCAAAGAAATATCAGAAAAGAAAACTAAAGATGGAAACCAACAACGCTCTCATAGTGATGAAAGAAAAAGGAGCAAAGTTCCGTCAGAAGAATCTTGGTTTTGCTATGCTTGCAAGGAAAATCGTGTGTCGGATATGAAACAGTGTGTTAAATGTCACATATGGTATCACGAAGAATGCGTAGGCTTGACCAAAAATGATAAGGAATTGTTTTATTGTCAAAACTGTGACGAATAAGTATCGTTATCATTAGGCAAACTAGGATCTATATTGACGGACCATTTTGTTTGTATTCAATCGAACCTCTTAGTCGTTCAAGTAAAATATTTCTAAACGAATTTACTTCCAAAGTTCCCAATCCAAAGTCTGATTTAGGATATGTTATTTGAGTCTTAACATAAGAAATCTTGTAATAACTTAAAAAGTGGCCTTATTACCCCCCGGGGGTTAATAAGGCCCATTGTTATTATCTCTTAAATTTATGTAATAAAATGTTTTTGGTTGATTTTAGCCGCTGAAAACTTTGGGTTTTGTTGATAATTTCATAAGAAAGATATATTTTATTTTCGGGCGTTAAGTTACTGTGGTAGTTTAGTAAGGCCCATGGCAAGAGTTTTTGAAAATTGCTATGCTTATTTCCATGCTGATCTCTGTGTTACTATTTATCTTTTATTCTTACCTTAAATAAAAAAGCTTTCTACTGAACTACGTTTTTTCAATTTTTTTGATATAGTTCCTGAGTTTTTTAGCCTTAAAGTTAGGTGGGCCTTATTCACCTCAGGCACCTTATATATTGTCCTCACAGTTGGGACTTCACTCAAGTCCAAACAAAATCGATCCGGTCCTGCACTTCGATCAGGTTAAACGAGAAGGCGTGCGATGCAGATCAGTACTCAATCAAAGTGCTGTCCGGGTCAATCAACAAAACCTTTTGAGATCAGTTCCTGGCAAGGTGGCACACTCTTACAGCAACATCGGAGTAATATATTTTAATTTACGGTGAGTGTTTTCGAAATGCTACCGAGGCTTTGCGAGTGCACGCAGATCGTTTTTCAAGGTCCTTGCGAATTTAGCAATCTGCTGCATTCTTTCGCGAAAGGCAGTACATTATACTCGTAAAAGCCTACATCGATGCCTGGCTATGTCTAAATTCTAACAATACTTACAGGTCACAGAGCTGTGCTTGAGTTTTTTCTCGATGAATAGTGACTGTGTAGCTTTGTTATTGCAAGCGTAACTGTTTCAGAAAACGAAAGTCCCAACTTTTAGGACTTGCTGGTATATGCCAACGCAATTTTCTTCAATATAATTATCCAGCTGACAAAACTAACAGTCGTTTCCTAATTAAAAACTAAAACCCTGTCAATTGAAAGCAGCTGGTTCAGAAATAGCTTAAATTTATTATTACTCTACTAATTTTTGTCATCCACCAACTGTTCATCTGATACGCAAACATGTCAGATACCCTCTTCTAATTATACAGAAATGAAGACGTTTTCTCTCCTAAAACTCTGTCCACTTGCAAATGCGTCACTAAAATATGTCAACCGTTTTGACAAAGGTCGAGGTTCATCAGAATTAGTATTCTTCACACCTTCCGTCATATCTGTTTAGATCTCCAAAGATATAAATCTGGGCAGGGATTTCAAAACGCTACCTTTTCTACGGAAATAATCCACGGTGCGGCCGAGAGGATGGACGGTTTTAAAAAAATCATAAAATAGTTAATTCTTACTCGAAAACAAATTTATTGATGGAATCAGGTTCACAAGGAAATAGCATTTGAGAGTCAAGTGTGGAAAATCACATCAGGCTTGTGGAAACCGAAATCGTTGATGCAGTGCTGGAGCCGTTCTTGGAGTTCGCGTAGACTCTCTCCAACATCGCTCTCTCGTTACTTTTGGGCTGTGCAGCGGTCTTTCGTGTAACTGTTGCGGATTTTCATTAGCCCAATAACGACAATTCTGCTGGTTAACTATGCTGTTTAGGTGAAAGTGAGCTTCGTCACTCATAAACAAAATGAAGTTCTCATTTTGATCGATCAGTGCTTTCATCTCACGTGCGAAGTTCATTCGTTGTGCATAATCTCCGGGCTGTAACTTTTGCACAATGGCCAATTTGTAGGGGTGAAAGCGGAGATCCATATGCAAAATTCGCCTTACCAAAAGATTACTAAGGCAAAGTGCAGCAGCATGTTTCGGGGCAGATCGAGTCGGACTGCGAAGAATGACCTGTCGAACGCGTTCAACATTTTCAGGATTTCGAACTGTTCGCGGCGCTCCTCTTGGACTTCTGTTGATCAGATCACCACGCCTGCGAAGTGATTCAACCCAACGAAGGATGGTGTTTCGATAGGGAACAGCTCTATTCCGATGAATGTTGAAGTGGCGACGAAACTCACGCTGTACGACGATAACTCATTATTTCGAACGAAACAATCATAGGCGAAAACGCGGTGCTCCACCATCCAAGGCTCCATAACGACAACTGGTAAAATAATGCTAGGATCTCACGAGTCAAACGGCACCCTCCCCACCTCTCTCGTAGACGGAGGCGGAGAGTTACTACCCATCCCAAAAACATCCGCCCTCTCTGCCGCACCCTGTATATATTACTGTAGTAATGCAGTATTTCAAGCACTTGCACTACTGTATGTATCTAGCAATCTAGGATACTGCATCTATTCTATACTGACTGACCCCCTACAAAATCCAACCCGTACGTCCTCGAGTTCGTTCTGCGGGGCGGCCTTGGGCGCTGAACCGTGTGCGACCGTGTAGGGGGGGCAACGGGGTGCCGGTCTTGCGGTGGACCGCCTCGATTAGTTTTTGAGGAGACCCGCCGGAAAGCCGGTAGCCCGGCCAATCGAACGGTCATCATGGGCAATGGTACGTTACCCAACCCAAAGTGTTAAGCGATTCCGTGCCGAGGGGTGCGTGGCGGTGGGGATGCACCGTCTTAAACGGAGCCTCTGGGACACCGGGCGACCTCCCAGAGTATCCAGCCTTGCGTCCGTGTAGGGGCACCGCGGACGTCGATCACCACTTCCCCTATACTCGTGGGAACATTATGGAACCAAACGATGGAAAAAATAATAAAAAACCCGAGGCCCCCCCTACAGGGGACCCCGAACATCCAGGCGACCCCTCACCAGGGGACCCTGATCGTACTCTGACAGAGGAATCTGTCAGAAGCTTAGCGAGAGAGCTAGCGGAAAGGGTGGGCTCTCTAAAGATTAAGAAAAAGTCTCGGCCAGGTTCCGAAAGGAAAAGGGCTCGGAAGCGGAGAGAGGCGCAGATGACGGAGGGCTCGGAAGGTCGGGGCACCACTTCTGGGACCCCGGCTGGACGGACCCAACCGCCATCTGGGCTAGACGGTGCGCAATCCGGTGTGTCAGCGGAGACCCTAAAGCGGCCCGGTGACGGGAAGCGGCAGAGGTCTGCCGGTGGGACACCGGAGGGCGCATCCTCGCGGAAGAAGCCTCGCACTGCGACGCATGCGCAAATTAGTTATGCGCGAGCGTCCCAAGCGGGTCTCAGGGTGGCCGTCGTGTCCGACGGTTATCCTGGGACTCAACTTACTAATGTACAGGTGCAGCAGGTCCAGGAGGCGGTCAGTGTGCTGATAGATGGGATCCCAGATGAGGTGACCCTTCCCAGGTACATTGACTGCTACCTCTCTCGAGGGGCAGCCATCTTTGTCTGCGAGGACGAATCCTCTAGGGCATGGTTGGAGGCCCACGTGGGGGATCTGCGGCCGTGGGAAGGCGCAAGGCTCATTACGATGAGCTTTGGAGACCTTCCCATATACCACCGCGTGATGGCCTGGTTTCCGGGTCCCAACCTGGACAACGGGGTCATCACGAGGAGACTCAGGAGGCACAATCCTGGGACTTTTCCCAGCGCGTGGAGGATACTTGAGAGGAAGGAAGAGCCGATAGGTGTCCGACTTGTCCTCTCAGTTGATTCCATAAGCTGGAAGGTCATTGTAGGTAACGGCAACAGGCTGTGTTGCGGTGGAAGTTCGGGGGTGTTTACACTCCTGAGCAAGAAGAAGAGCAGTGGAGCGACACCTGCTGGAACTGGCCTGGCTCCAAACCAGGAGTCGGACCAGCCCAGACCGACGGGAGCTGTGGCGGTAGACCAGGCTCCTTCACAGGGGATGGGTCGGCCGGGTCAGCTCTCGCTGGAGCCACCGGAGGCTACGGACGTGGAGGCGGCGGGTCCAAGCGGGATATCCGCAGAAAACATCGTGGCGGACCCTGCGATGGATCTGGTCCCAGAGGAAAACGATAGCGACTCGGACGAGGATGGAATCCTGAACCGAGTCCGAGAACTCCTCCGTGGAAGCGGAGATGAAGGCGGCTGTGGCAGCGATGACTGCGGCGGCGACGGCGGTACGCCCGAATAGGGGTTACATACCGTCATTCGGGAAGGTGTAGGAAGGGCCTCTCAACATCCATGGTAAGTTTTAATTTCATCCAAATTAACTTACAACACTGCATAGCGGCTTCGAGGGCCCTTACTCAGGAGATCACTCGAGGCCGACATGACGTGGCTCTCATCCAGGAACCCTGGCTGAGAAACGGTTCAGTAAACGGGCTTAGTATACCAGGCTATACGCTTTTTAGCGATACTCCGGACACTAAGCCCAGAGCTTGCGTAATGACTTCCGTCAACTCATGGCAACTTAAAGAATTTACATTTAGAGACTTAGTTGCAGTCAGAATTAGATATAAGAAGGAAGGCAGTGACAGGGACTTGGTTGTCTGTTCGGCTTACCTTCCTTACGATTCAAGAGACCCTCCTCCGTCTAAGGAAATGGGGGACCTTGTCGCATTCTGTAGGGATTCTGGACTCGACCTTGTGATTGGATGCGACAGTAATGCCCATCACGTTGCATGGGGCAGCTCGAACACCAACAGACGAGGCGAAGACCTGATGGAGTTTCTTGGGGCATCGAACCTTGAGGTTCTGAATGTCGGTAACATGCCCACTTTCAGCAATAGTGTAAGAGAAGAGGTTATCGACGTAACACTGAGCACGCTTAACTTAGCTCAGGACATCAGGGACTGGAAAGTGTCTCTAACACCCTCTCTATCGGATCACAGGTATATACTGTTCAAGACTGATGGAGAGATTCCGGATAAATATGCTCGGAATCCCAGGCATACTAGATGGGGGTCCTTTAGGGCAGACATTGACAGTAAGCTTGGAGCGGTCCCATACAGGCTTGGC